CCCGGCCGGGCCCCTTCCCCAGCACCGCGGGGGCTCCGCCGTCGCCCGCCCGGGCAGGGCAGGCTGTGGGCGGGCAGCGCTGCGCCCCTCGCCTCTGCTCTGCCAGCAAAGGTGTCCCCGTGTCCCGTGTCCCGTCCCGCCCCCCCGCCAGGCACCTCTCCCGCCTGCAAAACGCTGTCAGGGTTTTCGAACGTCAAAGACGGGGATAATTATAAGCCTCTCAAACCCGACGGGGTGTCATCTCCCTCTTTCTCCGACTGCAAAGCTCCACGCTTGGCCACGCGCTGTGCGGGCTCCCCCCACCCCCCCAAAAAAAGGCAACCGCTGGGCGAGGGGGCCGGCTCCGGCCGGGAGGGAGGGAGGGGAAGCGGCAGGACCCCCGCCCGGCAGCGGGGCCGGAGAGGGGCGAGCGGCCGCCAGCCGGTTCCCCTCGGCCTCGCCTCGCTTCGTACGTGCAAAACGGCGAAGTGCTCTCCGACACGACGTTAACGTTTTGCCAGGTTTATTTTACTTGTTATACACAGACGATACAAACGGGCAAAAACCGAAACATTTCTCAATGGAGCATGTACTGGTATAAATTATTCAGTTCCACAGACGTAACAGAACAAATATAAAAATCACAACATTCGATTTACAGAAGAGTCAAAAATATACACACGTTTATGACCCTGAATTTCTATTAGGAAATTTCCCCGTCGAGTGTAATCTAGACTGAATATTTAGCCTGATGCATATTTCAGTTTGTAATTTTTTTTTCCATATAAAAATGCATTAATTGTATAGATTTGCTACTCAAAATTCGAAGACTTACTATTCTGCTTCGCCGGGGGGGGAGACCTGGAGGGATACGAGTTCTCCTTCATTAATATAATAAGAGGTTTACAGGAAAGATCGCTCTTACTTTCGATGTGCATTGGATTCCCCAGGAAGTCAGATCTCGGTTAGCTACTTTATGAAAAAGTCAATTCCAAAACTAAATGCATTAAAATATACAACTCACAATTCATCTTCACTGGACTACACTATGGTTACCAACAATTCAGTCGTCTATATCTTTTTTTTTTTTTTTTAGATTATTCATTACAAAGATTTACAGCAATATAAAGAAAGAGGGGGGAAACTGCAAAGAAATTTGAAAAGAGTTTGTCAGCATATTTGGCACCTGCAGGGACCAGTAATGGATTTGGCACTTGGGGGCGGGGGGGAGGGGGGGGAGGAATACCACAAAAATAATAATATTGCTGCTGTCGAGCTATTCCTTTTAAAGAAAAATACAGAGGCAGTTAATTTTGCTTTTGGAAGGCGTCATGCTACTTTAATCGACTTTCCTACGAGACATATTTCTGTTCTTTTGAAGGGAAAGCTGAGCTATTCCTTAGCTGTGTTAGCCCAGGGCACAGCGTAATTATTTCATGCGAGGAGTTGCAGAGAAAGTGAGAAACCCATTACTCGCTGCTACAGCTATGGACCACTCTACATTTCCAGCGGCGTTTAGAAAGAGTGTTTACCTGGGGAGGGGCAGGAAGAAGAGGGAGCAAAAGGGGGAGGGTGGGGGTGGTAAAGAAATTGAAACAGGATCAAAGTTTGTGACTTAACAATGAAAACAAAATAAAAAAATCCGAACAAATGAGGAAGAAACAGAACCCAAGAAAAGTAATCGGTTACAATAAATTAAATACTATGTACAGGCATTTCACAGGCTCTTTTTCCCCACCGTTACTGTTATCCCCTAGAATCCATCCGTGGTAAAAGGAAGGAAGCGCTGTACGGTTTGAGAGAGTCTAAGCATCCTACTTATCAGTGGGTTTCGGAGCGGCGGTGCCCCCCGCGCCCCCGGGGCGCCGCCGGGCCGGGCCGGGCCGGGCC